CAACAACATCAACATCATCAGCCTACAAGTGCCCACTGCTGAGCAAAGGCCTCTTCTCATACGGAGAAGGTTAGAGCATTAATCACCACGCTCGGTCAATCGGTTGTCGGGTTGGCGATTTTAAATTCCTTTCTTTCAAGTTCAGGTTTCCTCACGATGTTTACCTTCACCGAATGGCAGTGGTGTGTTAATAATCATAGAAAGTACATATAACTCGGAAAAAGTCACATATGTACTTACCAGGATTTGAAACCTCATCCATGAGAAGCGGGCTCCTTAACCTCCGGGCCACCACGACGACCACATAGTGGCCCAATATGGCCACGGCTTAGTGTGGAGCCTGTTTAAATTGGTACACGACTGACTTATAATGGGAAGCCGAGCTTCAGGTCATTGCTATTTGGAATAAACCATTTTCATCCAAAATATCAAATACAGCACAATTATATGTATAAAAAGAATCTCTTTTCTCTCGGTTATCAACTTAACGCCAGGGCGGGTGCATCGTCCATGATATCTATCGCGACCCTAGCTTGGAGCAGGGTTGCTTTTTAGCCAGTAAGAATCGGACACCTCTTCTTGCCCCACACAGGGTTTTAGTATCAATATATTATTGTGAAGGAAAAGTGGTGCAAACTCTTTGACATCATGACGTCAATGGATGGTTGTCAAACGTAGCCCAGAGATTGTAAATTTCGTCGTGAATTGTCAACACGAATTGGTGTAAACGGTAAGGCGTGTGGATTACACCAGAGAGACCCCGAGTTCGAGTCCCGCCGTAAGCATGAAGTTTTTTAGTTGATGGAAGTTTTTGTTGAACTTTCTGGAAGCTTTTGTGTGAAAGAAATGAAAAATTAAAGAGCGAGAAGGAGAATAAAAAAAGAATGAATTACGAAATTATTGGAAGGTTCTGGAGTCATGACGATCGAAAAGAATAACGAAATTGAATCTTCCAGAACCTGACCGGGGGTATATAAGCGGAACTGCGGCTCACCGCTGGCAGTTGAGTTCTAAGTCCAAAGCGATTCGGAAGAAAAGGAAGAGGTGAAAAAGAAGGAAAGTGAGTGAAATAGTGAAGTGCAGTGAGTTAAGTGAGTTAAATCAGCGTGAACAGTGAGCGGCAAAGTTGTGTCAGTCGGCCGGACTCTGCTGGAGAGGAACGCCGGTAACTTAACTCCGTGGACGCTGTCACTTAAGTGCAATAGAAAGGCTGAAAACCGGTATTAGTGTTTTAATTTCATCCAATCCCGTAACCCAAGCCCGCATAGTCAGGAACGTGACGTCAGGCACGTAACGTTATTTATTGTCTCTAAATTGTCATTTTTACATTAAATATCAAAATCCACATTTAGAAAGGTGATTCTTGAAAAATCTGATGATATAAATTTTCTGAATTACCTAAAGACATAAATTTATCTGCTGTCGTCATTTAAAAAGAACCTCTTATCTTGATAACAACGAATAATTGTAAAAAACGAAAAAACAAATCGATGAGATCATCGTCATTCTTGATTACTCACGTGTTTGAAATTTCTGAATCTGGTTATAGGAATTTAGGTCTTGAAGACACCTCTACAAGACCTGAAATCCATTTAACTGATTGAAAAAGAGTAATCATGGGGTTACTTTTTCGTTCTTCTCTATAGGAATTTCTTTGAAACAAGCAAAAATAGATTCACCATACTGACTGACGCTTTTTAACTATAATCAGTTTTTTAACGTTCGGATGTGCCTGCAATGATCAAATTATTGAAATAAATGATTAACATTTTGATGCTTTGCGGGTATGGGCTCTTAGTGCTCTCAAACATTGGCTATATCACCGTTTACCACTATACGAGCCTCAGTAAGCCAATATTTCAATTGAATATCTTCTTTCTTAATTTATATTTTAAGTTGGAAATCGAGTAAACAATAAGTAACAATTCTGTATATCGAAATAAATAATAGGTAACCACCACGGGCGGAGTTTTACAGGGCCGATGTTCAGCTGGTGTTGCGGGGCAAGTGCTTTAAGGTACTGCGGCCTCGGTCTAGAGCAGGAGAAGGAACGGGGGGCGGGGTTAAGTCAGTTATAGTCTGACACTCCCTCTCACCTCTCCCTAGGCTAAAGAAGTTGTTTAGTGGTTTCCCCCTCATAAAAAAGAACCATACGAGATAGTGAACAAATATTGCTAAAGTAAGTAAATAGGTCTTTGCGTTTAACACTAATAATCTAGCTATCGGTTATATTATTTCGGTTTTAGACACCTTTCTAATTGCCTCAACTGGAATATCTGGTACATGGTATCAACATAGTGTGAAGTCCAGATGAGAGGTTTGTCTTTGATGGGTAAATCATCAAAAGACTTGTCTTACCCTGAGTGAAATGAGAGGGAGAGTTTAGAGGGCCAAGTTTCGCCCTTTAGAAAGATCACCAACCAAATGGTCTTAAAGGAACTTGGTGAGATCAACAGATGAAGGTATATTTTTTTAGCCAATTCACTGCTACTATCGAAGAATGTTCAGGTCGGCGTGTAGCCGGACCTGAACCTTTTCTTTTTAAGCATTGACTCACTCTGTGTTATTCCCCGGTCGCGTTGCGCTCCAACGATACAATCAATAAAATCAAATCAAATTCTTTATTTCAAATAGACCACAAAAGGCACAAGTATACAATTTTACATACACATCACACCCAGACCCAGAACAACAATTTGTGAACCGAATCGAATTCGCGACACCAACCCTCGCACCAACATTGTAGTCAAAATTAATAATTTGAAAAAGTATTCTTATTTAAATTTGGAAAGAAACTGGTATTATTGATAATTTTCTCCATGAATCGCCATTCTTAATGGGATAAGCCGAAAAAATGCCTGATAGGTCGCTTGTAAGCAATTATTTTTGTTATTTGAAAGTTTCGTTTTACCTAATTACTGTTTGCTCTTGACGTCAGCTGCTTGCCGTGTCCGATTTCGCTCAAGGGGCCCCTAGAATATCAGCGTAACGAAGACATGCTAAACTGGTGGCTATTTGATCTCGGACTTGGGACATGCGCCCATACCAACATGGCCATGTTCGTCTTCTTTTAGCGAATTAAAGTAGTTTTCTTTCCTTCTTTCTTTCTTTCTTTATTCAAGGTCAGCATTCGGCACTGCTATTTAGCACCCGTATCAGTAAGGAGTGACAAGAGCGCTGTTAGTCGTTTGTGGATTAAGAGTTTGAGGATTGGGTCTCAAGTAACCCGAATAATATGGCGGAACACAATACATCCGTTGTTTCACGTTTGTTTCCTCAGAGGCCGTAGTATCAATCCGGTAGAAGTGATAGTGGAACTAGGAATCGTGTTTTGACATGCAAACTGTCTGTCTAACACAAATTAGCTGTCTTAACCGGAGTGATACCATATCCAGTCCACAGAAAACATCGATAATGAGGAAAAAGATACGAAAACCTAAACCTAACATTAATCTATAGGTATGATAAAAATATTGTATGTTTAACCTATCTAATAGATAAGATTATAGCAATCTATATAAAAGTGCAATTAATTAACCAGTTCGTATTAAAGTTACTGTTGTGAAAGAATATCGTTAATCAAAATGTACAAATTATTTTTGTTTTTTGTGATCGCTGTTTACAGTGAGTATTATCCTCTTAGTCTTCTGAATGTGTGTTTGTCACAGAAATGTTCCTAAACGACTGGATTTTTTTTTTGTGTTTGTGTGAATGTATTTGGTGTTCATTAAAAAAATGATAAGATAAGAATAACTCGTAGAATAACTAATAGTGTCACCATCATTTTTATCTCTTGCTTGACTTTTTTTTTTGAGCGAGACCGTTATCATCTTCATTTTCCCGCTCTGGCTGGGTAAGACTGTCAGACTTTTTCTGAATAAAAGTCTACGCTGGTTTTTTCGCCCCGTCTGAACATCAGCCCTTTTCGGGCCCATCTGTGGTGGGCTCTTAAACATGCTCTGGTTCAAGTTCTGGTTCTGGTCTACTTATCTTCTTCGACGTTCCCAGTGAATTCTGCTATATTCTTCTTTGTAATTTTGGTTTGTATCTATCGAATATTGTGACAAAATATATTAGATTTTTTTTTCAAAAAAAAAACACGCGGTTGTTTATTGTGAAGTTCATGGTATTAAAAGTTTTTGTTGTGTGAATTTCTAAACAATTTTTGTTTGACGCTTTTGATCCAATAGTTTGGTAGTTTTCAACATTACAGAAATTCAAGTTGATTAGTTACATAAAATGAATTTAAGGCATAAATAAATATACTGCTTGGATCTTGTTCAATTGTATAGTGGTCAAAACTTACGGAGTTGATAAAACTGACATAGGTACTCTTATTAGTCTAGTAGCATAACGAAATTTCATCCCAAGGGTCTCAGAGGAAAAAATAATTGTGTTTTTCTATTTTTTTTTATTCTGGCTGCATATTGCATAAATGTGATTAGTAATATCTCTGCTCTCTGTATATGGATGTTGAATAAAAAAACTATAAATAAATAAAAAGTTACGTACATAAAATAAGTCAATTACTTCTTTGAATAAACTAAGTTATGTCAAAAACTATATTCTGTGACCAAACGGTTTTTTGTGAGGCCGTGGTATCACTCCGTTGGGGAGTAGGGTTTCGGAGATTTAGGGATTGGGTTAATTGGATTAGGCCACCGGCAGCGGTAACTTCACTTACCCGGCAAAGCTGTGGTTGGGTCAGTATCAGCCCAGTGGAGCCGACCCATTACTCCACCCAAATCGAGAGAAGCCATTTAACGATTTGCCTCCTCAAAAAAGTGGGTGATCTATTGTGTGCCAAAACAATTCTAATTATGTCTCATTAGCGTCGTTACAAAAAATGTGTTCTATGTTATCATGGTTTACTTAAAAAATATATTAACAAACAAAATATTAATTTGTTTAACAGGCGCCAAAGCGTACACACTCGGAGGGTCTGAGAGGATAATGGGAGGAGCATACAGGACTGATATAAATTATGTGGTAAATATCATGTTGACATCAATCTTTTGAGTTCTTTTTTTTAACCCCCGACGCAAAAAGAGGGGTTTTATAAGTTTGACGTGTCTGTCTGTCTATCTGTGGCATCCTAGGGCCTGAACGGGTGAAGCGATTTCAATTCAGTTTTTTTGTATTAAAGGTGACTTACGTGCGAGTGTTCTTAGACATGTTTGACGAAAATCGGTTGAGCCGTTTAGAAGTTATGGGGGGTAAATGGGGAAGGGTAACCGAAGGTCTGCAAATATACTCGAGTGGGGTCTCAAATGAAAGTGCACTGAAAGGGAATGTTGATGACTTAATAATCGAGAGAAAATGATATAAAATACCAATAAAAATTATAAATAAAATAAAAAATTGACCCCCGACAAAATAGACATATGTAGTAGATAATTAAATGTATGGATCGGTCCCCCAATGGCACGTTTTTTTTATTAATTACAAAAAGTACTTAAAGGAATATTAGATTTTTTGTCGGATTTTAAATTTTAAATTTATAATTTAGAATAAACTTTACCCCACACAAGGATTTTATCCTGTGTTATGGGTGCGTTTACAAATATACAATTTCACATACACACCTAGACCCGGAACAATGATTTGTAAATCACACAAAGAGTTGTTCCGTTCGGAAGTCTAGCCCGCGACACGGTGCGCGGTAGCCAGTTACAACCGTGCCGTCAAAAGTTTAATCTTTGAACCTGAAACTTCAATCATGTTAAATCGATACACAATATCGCTTGCGGTTTGATTAGTTACAATACCGTCAACGTATCTTGGCGAGTCTGAAGTTAGCCGATTAGCTGCGCAGTACACAATTTTGTTCCTAAAAGATCCATTGCGCAGACAAACGGCTAACTTCAGACTCACCAAGAGACCGCATTGTAATTAGTTTTATTTCTTACACTGAATTTCTTTCAGTTGGGTATTAGTTTCACTAATTTAAATGGCCACGCTCATAACGTACGGCGTTCTGATTGGTTCGTTTGAAGTTTAAATGTGAAATAATTAATCAGAGTGCTAAATGCGGCGTTTTAACCGCAGATGTAAATACAACTACAAAACATTTAGTTCGTTTGAATGTACATATTATTTAGTTTTTAGACTCGTTTTAATTCTATTTTAATCCTGATAATCTGAACTAACATTATAAAGAGGTTTGTATGTTGGTAGTAATCTTTGGAAAAGGTGGTCGGATTTCCAAAATTCTTTAACTGATAGAGAGAGAGAGAGAGAGAGAGAGAGAGAGAGAGAGAGAGGGAGAGAGAGAGAGAGAGAGATAGCTACAATGTGCCACAGGATAAATTATATCATTTCAACGCATCATCATTTTTAACGCATTAAACGCGAGCAAAGCCACATATGGAAGCTAGTATTTAATATTATTCCCTATTATATTAAAATTTTTGTTAATTCTAATTCATGATTTTGTTTTCTAGATATCTTTACAAGACAAAAGACAATCACAAGCCAACGAAAGAGGTCACATATGTGGAGGTGTATTGATTAATCGCCAGTTCGCCCTTACAACAGCTTCATGCGTTTTGGAAAACAATGGGTAAGTAGTTTTTGGAAACACATATAAAATAATTCCAAATAGACAGCCCCACTTGGATAGACTTGCAGAGTGTCAATCCTTATGTCAGCTTGGAGTTGTCATGCTAACTCAAAGGTCACAGTGGCGGTGGCACGTACACTGGATCGCTCAATTCCCTATAATATGGTTGAGTTGTGCGATGCTGGTGTACTTTCTATGTTCGAGAACGGGCGATGTCAGTTGGGACTGGTCAGCTCCACTGTCTATTGTCCTTAAGGTTATATTCTTTTTATATTTCTCTGAGTAAATATTAGTGTTATACTGTTCTCACATAATTGAAACAACTGTTTGTATAAGGAATCTGTATGAGAAACTGATTTAAAAAGAGTCACCATGGAGTTTCTTGCTCGTTCTTCTCTATCTAAGAATAGGAACGAGCAAATAGATTTACTAAGAGGACTGAGCGACAAAATGACACTATATCTTTAAAATTTGGTTTCACGTTCAAAAGTGTATGTGTGGCTCTTTTTTGACACCTTTGCCTGATTCATATTTTCCAATGGGCCCTGAAAAAATAACATTACTTTTATTAAAGCCTTTTCAACTTCCAGTCTCTTATTGTAATAACAACTTATGGGATAACTTATTTATTTATTTATTTCCACATATTACTTTGACATTACAGGTAACTTAACCTAATTCGACATAGTAAGTTAAAGTATTTTTTGTAAACTATTGACCATAAACTTTAACTATAATAAACTGAGTGTCATTAACTGTGTAGTATCATGATAACTGTCCGATTAATACGTCTGCACAACGCCAAACGAGCAGCTGTATTACCTGATGGTAAGCAATCATTGACTCCTGAAGTTACGAGTGCCTTACCGACCTTTTGGGAATTAGGGTTATAGAGAATTAGGATTGGGGAAGGGGAAGGATCGGACCACCAGTAACACAACGCTCAATATGGAATAATGTACAAAATGATTTGTCTAAGGCGTTCGATTGGGTCGAATATTGTATTACGTAAGAAATCTTTTTTTTCTATGAACATTGAAACTAAAAGACTGATTAATATAAATTGACTGATTGTTACAGACAATCAATCAACATAACCAACTTCAGAGTCTTTGCTGGGACTGTTCTTACGAATGATAATGCTAACAGTGTTCGTGACATATCAAGCATAACTGTTCACCCAAATTATAACAGGCAGAATCCTCTCGTTAACAACATTGCTGTTATAACTGTGAGTATATTTTTATCATTTTATAAAAAAAACGTGATGACCCGGAGGTTAAGGCGCTTGTTCCTCATAAGGGTAGCTAGCAAGTACAAATGTGACTTTTTTCTAAGTTGTATGTACTTTCTATGACTATATAGACACCACTGACACGAAAGAAAAATATCGTGAGGAAACCTGGACTTATAATTTCTAATCATAATTTTGAAATCGCCAAATCCACCTTGAGCAAGCTTAGTGATTAATGCTCAAACCTTCTCCGTTTGAGAAGAGGACTTTGCTCAACAGTGGACACTTATAGGCTTATGATTAATATTTTTATCATATTCATTTTCATTTATGGGACCACTGGGTCCCGGATTTTTGGAAGGCGTACATGGGCCGAAGCCAACTCGCAAAGGCCCGTTGGACAATATTAATAGCACATCAGCCGTCAATTATTTTTTAGTGCACTATGGAAGAGCACCCTAGGATGATCACCTAGGGTTGCTATGGATGAGTAGACATTATCATGTCCATTACTTAGAGAATAATATAAATTGTATTTAACTACTTACATATTACTTTTCAGTTACAATCTGCGTTCCCGGAATCAATAATCCCCTTGTCTATGCCTAGTGCTGATGTTACTCATCCTGCTACGTGTGAGACTTCCGGCTTTGGAGCCCGTAATTCAACAGCTACTGTAAGTTTTCATATAGTTCATGTACTTAGTTAGTTAGTAGTGTACGTTAAACGAATATAAGCCCTATTGCCTTTGACAAAAAGGTCTGTCTTGCCTTAACTAATTTATGAAAATCTGGAGAGTGTAGAAAATATCCCTATTTTGTTTCTCGCTGTAATATTAAAAGTATTTAATTAAAAATATAATTATGTAATATTTTATTATCGTTTAATCATTCAATGTTCCACTTACATATTTATTATTAATAACTATTGTGGGAATACTAAATATAAATGAGCAGTCGCGCAGCCGACAATGTTTAGGATTCCCGCTGTGACATGAAACTAGTAGAGCTTATCTCAAATAATTCACGTGAAAAAGTAATTATTGTAAATAAATCATGAATATCTTTAACATATATTTTTTATTATTTTAGGCAAGTGCGCAATTGATAACTTTATCGCCAGTAGTTACGATGCCACTTGAGCTCTGTAGGCTGGTTGAGCCACAGGTACTATCTGGCGTGGTTTGCGCCAGTGGGGGAGGCGCTGGATGTGCGGTAAGTAATAAAGCTAATTTCCAGCTTATAATACTTTTATACGTTGCCTAAAATGTTACGAAAGCCTAAAACTATGATATCATGAAGCATCCTGCTCTGTCTTTCAATATTCATTCAACAGACTTTTACTAAAACCAAATAGGTTACGACACTAATAGTGCCAACCATCATCTGAACATGTCCACAAAAAGAAGTCAGTAATTCATACCAAATAATACAAGACAACCTTATGGTCACAGACATATTTTTTGAGAGAAGAAAATAATTATATTACTTATATCGCCTCGCCAGACTCTCACTGACTAAAGTTCATCCCGTTCCTTTTCCCAATGCAGGCCCTATAGGGCTAATGTTCAGCCGGGGTTGTGGGTTAAGCACAATGAGGCACCGCGGCCTCGGTCCAGAGCAGGAGAAGAAACGGGGGGTTTTAGCAAGAGTCTGTCACTCCCTTCCGCCTGACTTTGGGCGGGAGAAGACATTTTGTTGACTTTCCCCTCACAATAAAAGGCTGGGGCTGCTTTACATTTTTGGGCTAAACTCATAGCTCAAGGTCACAGACATAATAAGCTAACACCACGGAAAAAATATACTCAATGGAATATACAGCGACCTATGGCTAACTGTATCTTTTTTTGCTTTTTTCAGGGTGATCTAGGTAATCCATTAGTTTGTGGCACACAGAGTTCTCCAATCCTTTGTGGTTTACTTTCTCGGAGCAACAACTGCGGGGTAATAAGTGACGGAACTGCGTCAGCTACAGAATTGTACACTCGAGTCTTTGAGTTCGCACCATGGGTGAATGGAGTAGTCAATTCCGCCCCGGGAGCGGCAGCCACGTCACAACTGGGAATCGCTTTAGCATTTATGTTTGTAGTTATCCAAAACTTCAATTTCTTACACTAAGTCAAAGCTAAAATATTAAACTTATTTATTTATCGTTCAATCATTCAATGTTACATGTTTATTATTAATAAATTATAAATGAAATTCTTTATGTATTTTTTTCATAACCTGAAATTCCCTTGCTTTTGGATGATTCTTACTGTACCAGATGTCGTGGTGGCCCGAAGGTTAATGCATCGGCTTCTCACGCATGAGTATTGGTTCGCAACCTGCCAAATACCAATGTGACTTTTTCCGAGTTATTGCGTACTTTCTATGTTTTTCTATCATTTAGACATCAATGACATACGGTGAAGGAAAACATTGCGACCAGAAAACCTGAACCAACTATTTCAAGCGTTGCGATTAATGCTCAACCGTTTCCTTGTGAGTGGGCACTTAAAGGCTAATTCTTAATACGACTGGCCGTGCTCCCTGGAGGCTTCGCCACAAGCTGTAGACCTCAACATGTCACAGTATTGGCAGTCTCGCCAAGTAAGATCAAACAAGCAATTTGTTGATTTCGATTTACCGATAACTTTTTTTTTTATATGTGACTGAAGCCATATTATAAGGGATTTGAAAATTAAACAGAAATATTTTAATTTTGCTTTACAAGTTGATGATATCTTTCACGCGAACGTAGTCGCGTGGAAAACCTGGTTGAAAATAAATAAAAAAATGCGGTCCCCTACAGGGCCTAAAAGTTGGTACATTTGTGAAAATTGTAGACCACCTCTGTACACTATGGAAAGACATTTGATTTGAATTCATTAACAAACGGAGAAATATGTAGCACTCACTCTGCCAAGACTCTTGGCTGAAAATCGATGAGTGTGTATTACCTGTAAACCAATGAAAAACGAATGCACGTTTGACGCGGTGGCTGGACAACCGGCTGTCGTACAACGTGTCGCAGGTCGATTCCCGCACGGAACAACTCTTTGTGTGATCCACAGATTGTTGTTCCGTGTCTGGGTGTGATGTGTATGTGAAATTGTATGTTTATAAATGCACCCACTACACAGGAGAAAATACTAATGTGGGACACTATTTAAAAAATATTTATCTATTCGTTAGCTGCTTATTCTACAAATTAACTTTATTTAACTAAAAGTCTCACTAGTTGACAGACCAAGATATACGTTGATCTACATAAATTTACTGTCTTGTTGATAGGTCGTCATGAAAACTCCTCGAGCTCGAAGAACCCTAAATAAAGCACGGATAGAAATTCTCGGGACGCCACTGGCTCTCACAAACCTATACATTTCACCATAAATCATTGGCTACGAGACATATTCGCTAGAACCCTATAAATCTTTCCCTTCACTCATAAGTTATAGTTTACCTTTCCTTTTATTGGTTAGTTTTATGAGGCTTTCCATTTGCCTTCAGTTGGAAATGCATAAGTCAAACCCTTCTTTGGGCCTCCGGTAACCTCACTAACACGGCGAAACACAACGCTGTGGTTGTTTCACGCCGGTTTTCTGAGAGGCCGCGGTATCACTCCGGTCGAGCCAACCCATTCGTGCCGAAGCATGGTTACGCTTAAATTTCGGCAAAATATTATTATTTCAAAAGGAGTTAAAAAAAAATGTTTGTGTCTTAAATATAATCACAATGTCATGGCGGTTTTATAAACACAAACCCTAAATTCACATCATTAACGTTGTTATTCGTGACAAACTGTCTGACATCATGGAACATTGATTAAATCCTTGGCTTTGGCGGTTCAATGTTTTGTTCTATACCTTAATAGAGGGTTTGATGGCCCGAGCCGTTGTCAAAATGGCTGATTAAGGTTATATTTTGGTGACGCGGATTCTTACACAGCGATTGAGATTATTCTTTGTTTTTGTTTTGTTTTTTTTTATGTGATCGTCATCATCATCATCAGCCTATAAGGAGGTATTCCTCGTAGCGCTCCCGTTTTGAAACGCTCCCATCTAAGCGCTCCCGTTTTATTCCTCTAAGCGCTCCCAAAAGGAGCGCTTCGAAGAACGATTAAAAATATTAAAATTTATTTCCTCGAAGCGCTCCCACGTTTCAAAATAGGGAAAAGCATCAAGTAAACGTAATGAATTATATCGATAATTTTTAAAAACTCATGTGTGCATCATCTACATCGAAGTTGCTTATTACGAAAATGAGAGAATAATATCTTTTTGCTTTCGGCACTCTTATGTGTATACAAGGACCAATGTTATTGTGTATTCAAAGAAGATGTTATAAATAAAACGCATAGATAAACTTAATATAAATTATATACGTATAAAAATTATCGATATAATTCATTACGTTTACTTCATGCTTTTCCCTATTTTTAAACGTGGGAGCGCTTCGAGGAAATAAATTTTAATATTTTTAATCGTTCTTATAAGCGCTCCTTTTGGGAGCGCTTAGAGGAATAAAACGGGAGCGCTTAGATGGGAGCGTTTCAAAACGGGAGCGCTACGAGGAATACCTCCCTATAAGGAGGTATTCCCTATAAGGAGGTATTCCTCGTAGCGCTCCCGTTTTGAAACGCTCCCATCTAAGCGCTCCCGTTTTATTCCTCTAAGCGCTCCCAAAAGGAGCGCTTATAAGAACGATTAAAAATATTAAAATTTATTTCCTCGAAGCGCTCCCACGTTTAAAAATAGGGAAAAGCATGAAGTAAACGTAATGAATTATATCGATAATTTTTATACGTATATAATTTATATTAAGTTTATCTATGCGTTTTATTTATAACATCTTCTTTGAATACACAATAACATTGGTCCTTGTATACACATAAGAGTGCCGAAAGCAAAAAGATATTATTCTCTCATTTTCGTAATAAGCAACTTCGATGTAGATGATGCACACATGAGTTTTTAAAAATTATCGATATAATTCATTACGTTTACTTGATGCTTTTCCCTATTTTGAAACGTGGGAGCGCTTCGAGGAAATAAATTTTAATATTTTTAATCGTTCTTCGAAGCGCTCCTTTTGGGAGCGCTTAGAGGAATAAAACGGGAGCGCTTAGATGGGAGCGTTTCAAAACGGGAGCGCTACGAGGAATACCTCCTTATAGGCTGATGATGATGATGACGATCACATAAAAAAAAACAAAACAAAAACAAAGAATAATCTCAATCGCTGTGTAAGAATCCGCGTCACCAAAATATAACCTTAATCAGCCATTTTGACAACGGCTCGGGCCATCAAACCCTCTATTAAGGTATAGAACAAAACATTGAACCGCCAAAGCCAAGGATTTAATCAATGTTCCATGATGTCAGACAGTTTGTCACGAATAACAACGTTAATGATGTGAATTTAGGGTTTGTGTTTATAAAACCGCCATGACATTGTGATTATATTTAAGACACAAACATTTTTTTTTAACTCCTTTTGAAATAATAATATTTTGCCGAAATTTAAGCGTAACCATGCTTCGGCACGAATGGGTTGGCTCGACCGGAGTGATACCGCGGCCTCTCAGAAAACCGGCGTGAAACAACCACAGCGTTGTGTTTCGCCGTGTTAGTGAGGTTACCGGAGGCCCAAAGAAGGGTTTGACTTATGCATTTCCAACTGAAGGCAAATGGAAAGCCTCATAAAACTAACCAATAAAAGGAAAGGTAAACTATAACTTATGAGTGAAGGGAAAGATTTATAGGGTTCTAGCGAATATGTCTCGTAGCCAATGATTTATGGTGAAATGTATAGGTTTGTGAGAGCCAGTGGCGTCCCGAGAATTTCTATCCGTGCTTTATTTAGGGTTCTTCGAGCTCGAGGAGTTTTCATGACGACCTATCAACAAGACAGTAAATTTATGTAGATCAACGTATATCTTCGTCTGTCAACTAGTGATATCTTTAATAAAATAAAGTTAATTTGTAGAATAAGCAGCTAACTAACTACTAACTTTTTGTAGCACATTTTTCAAAATCATTGTGCTATTCGGATGAATAAGAACTATTGATCTAGACAATCCGAAATGTAGTATTATATTAAATGAATTATTAAATACCAAACTTCCTTCACTCCTCATTAGTCATCAACCTATATCTAGTCTTATGATGTAAAACTAAATAAACAATAAGAATGATAATTTTTAATATATAACAACCAAACACAGACACTATCGATCTGATAAAAGACTACATACATATTCTATCGACTTTTACAGTACAAATCTTCATATTTTGTGTCAAAATATATAAGAAAATGAAAGTTAGGAACCGTCTGCTGCACTGCTTCGAGACTTCAAACTTATGATAAGTTTGAAGTCTCGAAGCAGTGCAGCTTTACAAAATTGAATTCCTTTCAACACCGCACATGAAACATTCAAAAGATTTTTCAGTGCTGTACATTGGCGGACAAATTAATTCCTTAATGTATATATCCATTGTTGAATTCTTAATTTATACATCCATAGAGTTTATAAAAAGCATTATTTTCGATGGTGAGTAGGCATATGTGAGCGCCGTGTTCGAGACGAATATATAAAGAATTAAAATTTAATGATAGAAGCCACCATTTGTTCCTTTTTTTAACAACTTGTCTCTGCATTGTTCTCACGTTAAGGTACAATAAGGTATACAAAAATGTTATATTAGCGAAATTATAAAACAAATGCTTTTTTTTAAAAGAGTAAGGTTGAAGTTTCTTGCTCTTTCTTCTTCATTCGAATCAATTTGGAATGAGCACCTAACTTCACTGACGATCAAACTGACAGACTACTATTCTACTTCGACGTTTCAAAAGTACCTATACCTATAAATGATTTTGACTTTGACTTTGGCAAAAATCTGCACTAGGTATAAGTCTAGTGGTCGGCGCCAATTGCTCACTATAAAATGATAAGATACCATTGGGTAAACATGTTATTATACTTCAGCTTTTGTCATAAATGTAGATTTAAAAGCTCAGTAATAGTAGATCATACGAATATCTACTGCGAATATGTCTTCAACCTGTTTATACTGTACCCAAAGGAGTCCGTATTGTTTCAACTTTCTAAAAAGTACTACTTGTTTATCGTACGGATCATGATCAATAAGGAATTGATTATTGAGTAATGAGTATTGAGTATCCCTTTAAGGGTGGGAGTATCCCTTTAAGGGTGGGAG